GCATGTTTTACATTTAAAATTTCAACAGAGTTCATTTTATAGCATGTTACCATCTTCACAAAATCGTGCCATAATTAAAAATAAGTTGCAAGAATTATTACACTATTATTAATAGTGTAGGATATTTAGGTCTACTTAGAATCCACTTCGACAAATTATACACGGAAAATATCTCTCCATTCGATAAGAAAAATGTCAAGCGATTGTCTCACAGTTTCAATCGACCGGTTTGTGTTAGTTGTGTGTTGTGGAATGATTGTCTATGCAAATGAAAGTGATCATTTTGCTATTCAGAAATCTTTTGGCATGTTAGGTAAATATAACCAAATTAATGTGCGCACAAACTCCAAACCCAATTATGTGGCTTGGCGGGCAAGTATAGATAACGCTCATTAACGATCGTCCTATGATGGTTATTAATTACCATATATTGTTCATTATAATTATATTTCCCATAATTCAATTATGGTAGCCTGACTGTGACTTCGTTATAGTTACGTTCGACGCGGTGTGTTCATTGTCAGGAGTCATTCTATTATGCAAAGAGAAGTAAATAATCAGGGAACAGTGAAATAAGTGCATTTATAAATGGGGAATGATCGGGTTTATTTCATAACCATTGCGCACCACATGAGCCGACCTTGCAGTTCATAGCGATTCAATGAATGAAAGCAAAAATTGTTCATGCATATCACGGAACTTTTTGAGTTTAACCTATAGCTGTAACTGGTTTAAGCGCTTTAGAAAACGCAAATTGCGTTTAAATAATTTAATCAACTGTCAACAAAAAATATCTTTAAACGCCCCCTGTAGATACGCTACTGCTAGTAAATTCAATGGATTTAAACTCAGAGGAGAAATTAAATGCCCGGAAGGGGAAGAGCGACTTTAAAATTAATTTTACGGTCCGAAATCTCAACGATAAAAACTAAAAATAATAATAATAAAAAAAAAGTTTTCCAAGAGATAATCGTTATACTGTTGCTTTGGACTATTGTACAGTTGAAGCGTTTCACCTGTGGAACATCGATTTATTGTTTGTATTAACAAATATGTTATAGCGCTTTATAACGAAGTCTCAAAGCGCTCGAAGTGTGGACTTGCTCGCACAGTAACTTCTTTCTTCCCTAAGGGTCTCTTCATATCTGAGCTATACTCGGTAAACCGGTATCAGCAATCTCTCGTCTGCCCACAACAGGGGCTGGTTACCCCTACTCGGCTCGAAATATGTACTGGGTTCTTTATAGTGCATAAGAGGCATTGTGTACACTGGCCTCGGTATAGTCCTTATCAGAGAAACATTTTGCTTATTTTACAGGTACATTAATTGACTTTAATACATGCTTTTTTTTGTATGAGTAGGTGGTCTTTTTCCGGAAGGGTACATGCACAACCAAACGATGATATCATACAAGAGGGCGCTTATCCAGCACAATGTACGAAGTAACTCCACCCTTCACAAATACCAAATCGCAGCCTTATCTGACAGGGGTGACTTATCGGATAGTTTCGTGGTGTCTGGGCTAAGTAAGTATTAGTTTATGATGAATACGCATATAAGCATGGTGCATAGTAATTTACATCATTATAACCCCTCCACAACATCAGTGGCATCACCATCTGAGTCGGACGGCCTCGGAGTCAACGGCCAACCATTAATTAGTTTAAGGAATAGGAGTAGTTTAGTCTCATTGTTGTTATTGTTATTATGATTATTATTTTTATTTTATTTTATTGTTATTATTTTATTGTCATTTGCATTTTCTCAGTTGGCCTATATTATTTCTCTGTAAAGCGCATAGGGGCAATGTGCAGTTATGCGCTATATAAATATAACATTATTATTATTTATATTTATATTATTATTCTTATTATTATTATTATTATTATCATAATCATCATCATCAACAGCAACTTCAACATCAACATCATCATCATAATCATCATCTACTGTACTACTTCTACTACTACAACGTTAAGCGTCAGCCATTACTTTAAATATTTCGTATTCACTCCGTAGAAATCGATAAGATGCTTCTAAATAAATCAAATACAATGGAAATTTTAATGACTCATTAAATTCATTTTAATGTTATCTTAATACATTTTCATTTGAAAGTAATTATTTTGTTTATTTAATATATGTTTCTAAACGTAGAATTAGACTAGTACTAATTTATGTATTCTCTTGTTTTCATTACTAATTCATTCATTATTTCGAAATATTTTATCTTCTTATACACTATCAAACTTGTGTGATGTGCCCATATATCATATTACACCCAAATATGGGCATATCTCATTTATTTGTCACATATTGTGATAGAGTGTGGGCAGAGCCTAAAGCTATGTTGATCAAAAGCCGCTTATTGTCAACACCTCTCAACGGTATCAACAACTTGTCTTGGGACATATCATTGTAAAATAAGAGTAGCGGGAAATCGGAGATAACATTTAAATCGATATATTCATGAAGAGTTTTATTCCTTGTGGCATTTAATTTCAGGTCAACGATATACAATGAGCGAAATACACACATCTTCAGATTTAAAGGTGACTTAGTCGAATCTATATTCGTTACAGTGGAAACGCTTTAAATTACGTTATTGTGTTCTAACTGTTTAAGATACACACATGTAAAATTTTGAATAATTTATATCTCGTTTTACAGATATATATATATTCCAATTATTTTATTTCAGTATGCAAATGCTTCAATACATGTAAATACATAAAAAATACAGGACCGTTATGTTTTGCGGCAGTAGTACACTCCAACACTGTGCAGACGATGGCCTCCTACAGTACTGCGTTTGCAGTTCCATTTATCACGCCCAGTTTCGCCAAGACCGAAGCGTTGAACAAGGACAATCTGGATTTCATGGTGTCGGTGAGGCCACCACTCATAGACGCCCTCATCGACCTGATGAAGTTTAAAAAATGGAATGCATTTGCTTACTTTTATGGTCATGACGAAGGTAAATGTTTGATTTTAATCAGTGGCAATCCCCCCTCCCGCTCCTTCGAACCTATTAAACAATTTCTTTGGAGAACAAATTACCCTCAAGTAATTGAAAATCACTTATTTTGCCTGCTAAAATCCCTTCGCTTAAAAATCGAGTTTTCCCTTATGCATAACCCTTGTAGATGGGTCCAAACACCAAGAGAATAAAGGCGGGCATCGAGTTTATTTTCTGCAGGTAAATTGAACCCATTGCAAGATCTAAGCCAACAATCAGATCGCGCAGACATAGTCCGTCATGGGTCACAAGCCACTCCACTTTTTATAGATTGTAATGTTTGAGTATGCAATACTTTGTATTTCTCCCAAGCTCTTCACAGAGTTAATTTTTAGACGTGCATTGTTGTGCTGAAGTATGATGCATTTTTTATTAGCCCGCTTTCGTTAATACAATGTTAAGGGCCGTTTATTACAAAATCAACTCTCCAGAGGCCGTTTATAATAATGGTGATATTTATGAGGATTTGAATGTTAAGTGCTCGTTATTCTCGCAAGTCCGTGTTTATTTTTAACACATGTACATTACAGTAACAATACGACCAGTGAAGTTGGTGAATCATTACTACACTGTTATTGTGCTGTTTGTAATTATTATAAACAACGCAAGCCTCGAATAGAAGCATTGGGCTTCGTATTTTAGGACTTTTATGTGGGCTTCTTTTGGAGAAGGGTAATCTTTTCAATATTACTTTTGCAAAGTAAAGATTGGACTTTCCAAATTGATTGCTGTAAAGGTTGGAGATTACTAATAATAGAAAACTATAAGACTACTAAAAAATGTTTCAACCATGAAATCCTGTTTAAAAAAAAATCAAGAAAATAATATATATTTTTTTTAATTACAGTAGAGTAATTTATCTACAAAATCATTATATAGCATTAAATCACCTAAATTAATGAACTATTTCTGTTTCTTTGAAATGCATGAGTCTATATAGGCATTTAGGCCAACTGTACTATCTCGATAAAAGGCCCATACTATCTTGAAAAAGTAGACTATGGGGCTCCTTTTTGAGATTACGTTTGCAAACTAAAGAGGGGATGAGTTTTCATTTCGGAGATGGCCTTCTTCTCGAGATTAAGCCCATGTGGCTTCTATTCGAGGTTTACGGTAGGCTAATGATTATACTAATATATAATAATAATTTGGTGTCTGATGGAACCTCTAGGGTGTGGCTTGCTCTATGGCTTTCTAATAGCCACCCCTCCCCCGATAGATATTTGGTGTCTGGATTTGTATATATAACTGATTGAATCTTTCTGATGTGGCTTGCCGACTGCCTCTCATTAATTTGGGGAAAGTCTGTGAGCCTCTTCCCTCCGATTGGCTTATATAATATCGGTATTTGGATTTAGTTTCATTTTATATAGACTCTCGTTTCGCATTCGTGCCATGCTTGCTTTCTGGCTTCCAAATACCCCCCCCCCCGATTTTTGCCCATGGTTGATATTTTTGTCATGATGGTCGTTAACAGGAGAGTAAATACTCATTAAGGCACATCCTAGATTCTTAATGAATCCGGTCACATGAGCTGAATTTTCTAAATTTACGCAATAAGGAAGGAAGGAGCCGACACACAATTGATTAAAACTCATGGGGCCGAATCCATGTGACACCGTTATTATATTATTTAGACACCTTGTCAACCAAGTTTATAAATTATTATGTAGACCTCTATTATATATTTTCAATAATAGTGAACAACTATTATGTGTTTTTTTATTAGCTTTATTTAGGCTCCAGGCATTGATAGAAAGGCTTTCACTGAAAGATTTCAACGTGGCATTTCGTAGGATCGGCGATAGAAATGAAATCGAGGCTGCACTAAGGGAGTTGATGAGGCTAAAAATCTACAATATTGTTATCGACGCAGATGTGCCGATAACACAGTCAACAATGGAGATCGTAAGTAAGCAACCCTACGTGTTCCAAAAATAAAAAGAAAATAAATTATGTGGCACATCAACGACGTATCTTTGATTTGAAGTAACATACCGCAAGTTACATACGGTATTCAACACCTCATACATACACAATATATACTCGATATATACAAGATACAAGATATATATATATATATATATATATATATATATATATAAATTTTAAAAGGCAAATGAGAAAAACCCATAAAAAAACAAACGGCCACATAATGCAAAACTATTTAAAATTAAATGGGCTAGGCCTACGCAGGCTAAGAAAACTCAGCCACCAAAGGACTCAAATTAAAGCCCATGTCCCATTATTCAATGAATGAAATAAAATCCCATTAAAACACATTGAATACATGCAGAGTATGCTATATCATTATCTAGTTGTATCAGTGATTATTTGACAAAAGGTAGAGCAGTATGTTAGTCTATAGATTAGAATGATATAATAAAGTTTTGTTTATTGTTGCAATGTAATCTATTTGTAGCATTGGTATAGAGGGTGTTCACTTCATACTTAGTGTTTTTTTTTTTTTTTTTATTAAATGGGACAATTGGTAGTATTTAGTTGTTTATCCTGATTTATGGAATGTATTTATTTAAGTTAAGCTTTAAAACTCGGGAAATCCTTGCTCTGTTCTGATTGAATGATTTATTAAAGATCTGTCAAAGTGGCCTTCACCTCCTGTCTCTTATACACATCTTTTTATTATGTAAGCACCATACCAAGCGATAAAACCAATTATCGTATCATCAATAATCAACACCATTTAATATCATTTATAATCACTTTAAAATTTAGGTGATAGCATACGATTTATGTCGGGTATTAAGATTGACAGTTTAGTTAATTGGCTGTAAGGTGTATCTAGTTCATTCGTATACTATCCATTATTTCAATCAAATGGAATTGTAAAAGTGTAGCAAGAAATATCAAAGATGGCGACAGATTCGTCATGGGATACCGTACTATGTCTGGAGTGAATTATGGGATATGATAGCATGTATGCAAGACGTGTGTATATACTGCACGTTACTACACACTAGTTTTACAACACATTAAAATAATCAAATGCATTTCAATTATGGATGTACTGACACAAATTTGAGAGTGGTATTATTATTAGATGCTATGGACACGTACAGCACGCGAATATATCGTCGCTCACATCACGAACTAACACAATTAAATTCAATTGTGTTAGTTCGTGAAATTAAAAAAAAGCGCGTCAAAATACGCACTGCTGTCGTTAAGGTCTTTTTGTGTGGTAAAGAATACAAAATTGCTTGACAACCAGTACGCGCTCGTTTTGACGCGCTACTGTGATTTCACGAACTAACACAATCTAACAGATTGATATGTTGAATATGGACATTCGCATGCCTTACAAATACATAATTTTCATATGAATTTCAACGTCTTACTGAGATTTTTTTAGGTCTTTATCATCACCAACAACAAATGCCAGATAATGAATAACGTCACTCTTCATTTATAATCAAATAATGGCGCTATTGACAATTGCAACGTTTAGCATTAAGCGGAATACTTAATGCATACATGTAACCATTACGAAAACATGACACACTAAACTGCATCATATTGAATATGGAAGATTTCAACTCACTAAAATTCCTGAATTCGATTTACTAAATTTGATTCTGGTGAGGGTGAGTATGAGGTGATGATGATGATGATGATGATAATGATGATGATGATGATGATGATTATGATGATGATGATGATGATGATGATGATGTTGATGATGATGATACCGATGATAATGTGGAGGATGATAGAGATGTTAATGATTATGAAGGTGATAATGACTGTGCTGTTTATGATGATAATGCTGATGTCGTTCATACTGCTGCTGATGATGAATGACGAATATTATAGCACAGCATTCTTCCACGCATCGATGAGTCAAAAATGAATTATTACATAGTCGATGAATGTGTTGTTTGCCATCTCTACATTGAGCTAAATAAATATTATAATTTATGAATAATAAATGTATTAATCATGATTAAGTGAATAGTATTGAAATGGAAAAGAAGGCAATGAAGGTAATCTATTTTTGTTATTCTTACAGGTCGATGTGGTCGGTGTAAATACAGCGTTGTATACATTTGTCCTTCTTCAGCTGGTAAGTTTCTACCTACAGCACGATGGTGGTAAACTGGGCAGTACACCAGGAGACAATCCCTTGCTCATTTCCCAAGAGCAAGGGTCATAGTGCACACAGGGCCAAATGCTTAAACATTAAGCCGGGCACTCACTTCGCCCGGCTAAATCGGTCGTCGGTCGATGCGATTCTATAGAGAACGCAACGCCACGACGCGCGCGCAACGGATCGTTTTTAACGATCAGCATCAGCAGATGGTATCGCGTCGTCTAGCGTTCACATGCAGTGTAGTTGGATTCGTCGGCCAACTGTCGTTACGACGCAGTGAGTGGCCGGCTTTACTTACTTTATCAGCCATTGTCAATCCACTGCAGGATGAAGGCCTCAGTATCACTTTTCCAAAGTTTCCGGTATTGTGCAATGATTGACAAATTACAGGTTTTCCAATATTGGTCTATCTCGTCTCTCCATATTTTCCCTGGTGTTCCCCTTATTCTTTTTCATAGGTAAGGTGTCCACTCGGTGATTAAAACACTCCATCTGTTAACGTTACGTCGTGAGATGTGTCCTGCCCAGTTCCATTTCCTTTTTTTAATCGTTGTGACCAAACCGTTGACTATTGTCTGTTCTCTAATCCAGTTGAGTGTTTGTCTGTTTCTAAGTGTGATGTTCAATCTACTTCTTTCCATCTTGTATTGTGTCACTGCGAGTTTGAGTTGAAGGTTCTCTGTGATGGCCAAAATTTCACTTCCATATATGATGGCTGGGATAATGCATTGGTTGAATACTTTTCTTTTTAGACATAATGGTATTTTGCCTTTCATTATATTCTTATGTCAGGCAAAGGCTCCCCACCCTGCTCATACTCTTCATTATATATCCTTTTCTTGGTCTTTGTCTCTCAGGGAGAACCTTTGTCCCAGGTAGATGGGAGTGCCCGGCATTACTCTTTCAAAAACATTATACATTATTGAAACTAGGTATGTTCTTCAACATTACTAATTTTAATTATAGTTTCCGCTTTTGTCACACCATCATTCATTCAAGACTGTAACGGTAGTTTAAATATTCACATTAATAATCTCCTTGATTCCAGGACTCGCAGACTATCGATAAAGAAAGCATGAAGTATCGAGGGGCGACCACCTTGGCGTTTAGACTCTCCTTCCAGACCACAGACATCATCTACAAAGGACTTGAGGAGAAATGGGAGAAGCACAGGAAGCTTCATCCTGATGCTTTTAAAAATCAGGGAACTTTGCTGGTAAATATTGAGTCAGGGGAGGCGCCAGCTGGGAGGTGGGGAGGTAGGGCCTTCGTCGGTGTGAGCTCCCCCCCCCCACAACCTGTCGGGGAGAACAAATTAATATTAGTAGACTACAAAATCGATTAAAAGAGTAAAACAGAATAAAATAAATAAATAAAAAATAAGCATTTGAAACCCCTAAATTGTCAAATTTTTCAGGGGCTTCGTCCCCGGCCCTGGAATATTACATCAAGTAATACTGACATTTTTTGTTACTAAGCGAATAGTAACTAATAATGAAAAACGAATTATCTTGTTTAAGATACTTGTAATGAAAAAGTACCGTTTTTTTTATTTCAAATTTTGAAGGCAACAGCAATTCTCACTTATGATATGGTTGACACGATTGTAGAAGCTTTGCGATTGGCTGAGGAGAAAAACGTAAGCCTAATTGCGCCACCACAGAACTGTCAAGAAAAAGTAGCTTGGTCGAGAGGACCATTGATGCTGGAGTACATGAAGAAGGTATGATAGAATCAATCATAAATCGATGATAACGATTATGATGATGATATGATGATGAGGTTGATAATAAAGATGATGATAAGAATGATTATGAGAATTATGATATTGATGGTGATAATGAGTCTGATGATAATGATAATGGGTATGATGATGATGATGGTAATGATTATGATGGTATGGATGATGGTGATTATGATAATAATGATGAAGATTATGCTTATGGTGATTATTATAATATATTAGTTAAGCACACTTACAGTAACTTAATGAACCGCCCTACGCTTTATTAGAACAGTACGAATAGAGTCGAAACTCTAAAATGCGTTTTAAGACGCATCACGCGATCGATACGAACCCCTTTCTTCTTCTTTTGAATGGCGCCCACTAGTTCGTGGTAGTACTTTTTGAGATAGGTTTGCGTTTCAACGAAACCCCAAGAGTCGGACCTCTTGCAGTTTTATACTTTTTGACTGAGCATTATTTTCGAGTTCAATTTCTATTAAATTTAATCTCAAACAAGTAGAGCGGTACTGATATAATAATAAAAAAAAAATCCCGTATAAACAATACGATATTGTAGTCACAATATAAAACTCACAAAATCTTGTCGCTCTTGTCGTGAGAGAGAAGTATGTTGTTTCCAGGATTTGAACACAGGAAACTGACTTCAAAATAAGCACTAGCTTAAATACTGTATATACCACTTCAGCAACATCCACAGTTTAAACGTCAATGTCTTTATATAGACTTGATTCTCGTTAATAGATGCCTGTCAGATCATTTTCCTTATGCATAACAAGTTCACGTGATTTGTTTGATATAATTCTTTGTAGGTTGACATACAAGGGCTTTCAGGAAGAATTGCTTTCAATGCCATCGGAGATCGAACCAACTATACCCTTGATGTGCTTAGGCTTCGGGGTACAGGACTTGTTAAGGTTAGAATCAAACACAGTGCTTTCATTTACTCGCTGAAACCACTATTTTCTCTATGCGGAAACATAGGCCTACAAACAATGAATCATATTAATTTGTAAGTAACGCCATAATGTATATATAGACTATTAAATTAGCACTATTTTAATGTTACATATCAGACGATATTAACAATTTACCAATATGTTGAAATAAACTTTGAAATGAATAATCATCTAAAATGGTAAATCAAAACTGTTTGTAAACGTAGTTGAACGTTACTAAACAGTTAAACGTTTCCTAACCTGCTATCTACTTTTAACTCATGACTACGCACCAGGGATGACTAGGTTATGTTAACAAACCGTTATAGACATAATTATCCTAGCAAAAACTATACACACCGGTGTTTAAAAGCATATTTGGTACTTTTCATTTGTTTTTACACTGACGTATGCATAATGTAGTAGACCTATACAATATTAATTTCCGGTCTTGAGTTCTTATACTCAAATTAAATTTCGAACAAAATAACGATGAGTAGCATATTTCAGCTATGTTATTATGTACTTATTCGTAGATTGGTGTTTGGAATTCTAGTTTGACGGAAGCTGAAAGACAGAAAGTTTTTAGCACACCCGATAATAACGAAACACTTCAAAATCGTACCTTTACAGTTACGTCAATTTTGGTAGGTACAGTAGCATTTTGATCAAGACCATGGCAATTTAATGCAGTCATTCACAGTACAATAACTCCAAAGAGTCAGCTGCCCATGTTATAACAGTAAAAATAAATATAATAACAATAACAAATGATATATGTACATAAAATGTTGTAAATACATTGTATAAACAATTTCTATATTGGAATTATGAGCACTTAGTATGATTTAATTACGATGCCTTCGTCCGAGGCTTAGTCCATTGACTTGTCGCCAATAAAGGGAATTTTGAGAAAAGTGACTTTATCTCACATGCCGAGAACATTAACATGTTAGCGAATACTGTAATACATGAGTATATTAATTTTGAATGGTTGTATATAATTTTTGTAAAACGCCCTCTATAAGAAACTATGAATATTGGCAAGAACTCGGGGCAGATAAATGACAACTCATTGTCACATAAGTGTACCGGTATGAGCATGATATCCATGAATTATATTTGTCAAAAGAGGTCGCCCTTCTTCTTCAGGCTCATGTCAATATCAATATTTTCAAAAATGATCCTTTAAGACTCACTTTTCTGCTCTATATGCACTAATCCTTAGTTTATTAATGTTTTCCAGTTGTAGTCTTTGTTGTTGTTTGATTGAGGTATCAGTAGCAGTGCCATTATGGGTGGTCGTGTGCGGTGGAGAAGAGGTGGGGGGGGGGGTGTTGTGGTGGAATTTTTCCGTTGGACACACATGAACCTCCTGTCGTCTGATGGCATTTGAGGTTGTCATTAATTTGCTGACTGTTTTATATTGTGGACTAAGGCCCAACTATTACTCTCTTAAACCATAAAATCTCCCCATTTAATCCTACTCAGGGATTTTAATCTTAAACCATGATCGCAGTCTCTAAGAGCCCTTAGTTGGGATCTTCCTTTTGGATTTATTAGACCTCTTGTTGGCAAATTCTTGGAGCCATCACTGATCCTTGTGCTGCCCGGAGGTTTCTGAGAAATGTCGTGGCTTATCAATGACTAGCGTTACTTGACTTCATAGAGAATTGGCGTGTGCTTCTACAACCAAAATGAAAAATGTAAGAGAGAATAAACTGAAATTTCCTTCGAATGTTACTTTGAATTTCTTTGTTGTTTTAGGAAAAACCATTTCTAATAAAAAAGGTAGGGACAACTCCAGCGGACGGTAACGAGCAATACGAGGGATACTGTAAAGATCTACTGGATGAGCTCTCAAAACATCTCAAATTTAAATATAAATTACAGCTTGTAAAGGACGGCGAGTACGGGACGTACGATGAGACACTGGGCAGATGGAATGGGATGATTGGTGAAATTAAAGACGGGGTACGCATGCATGTTTTTTATCTTTCTCCTAGAAGAACTCTCGCTAAGTAACCTGTCTAATAGTTTAATAAATGTTAATATATTAAATGGTTTTATATTAATAGGCCTAGGCATGTGTATTTATTTGAGTCCCATCCTTTAAAAAGGCCAGCCACATCCTTCTATGTTACTTAGGCTACACTAAGCCATAAATTATGGAATTTATGTGCAATTTTAATATTGTAATTTTTTATTTTCTGTATTTTTGATATTGAAATTCAACTCAATTCATTGTAAATGTAATTATTTATAATATTAATAATAATTATAATTTGAATTAATATATACCGGTAATATTTAAATATTGTAATGAGTAGTAGCGTAAACATTAATTTCGCTAATTTCAATTATAATTAAATCTGTATCTTCAAATATTTTATCTTTCTGCATTTAGTAATTTGATGTTTGTTTGGTGTAATATTAGATGATCGATTTGGTGTTAAAATATTTTCTAATTGCTTATGCCAGATTCAAGTAACATTTCCGTTTATGTACTTTTACATGTGAAAAGACCAATAAAGAGTATCTTATCTTAAATTGGCTGGTAATTAAATATAAAGATTCTTATTGTAAAACTTTTGTAAAGTAGTGAACAAATGGTTTGTCTGTGTCTGATTAGTAAATGCTTTTAAAAGATTAATATAAGCTTTAAGGCCAAGTCATCCATCTCTTAAAACACATTACAATTAATATCAAATTCATAAGTTTATATAATATACACGAGTTAACTTAACTGCCGGGATGCCTAGATTTGAAAATACTCACGACTTGATATTCAAAACATCTTGAATACTGGAAATAGGGAAAAATCGGTCAAATAAACACAAATAAATAGGTTAAAGCAACACGACATGTGGGCTGTAATTTACTGTAAAAATTGTCAATTAATATCCTACTTAATTTTGTTTTTCTTACATCAATCTTTCGATAATTTCATGTTTTAACCTTGCAGCTATGACACTATAGTTAGTTCGCCAAGAGCCGATTAGGTTTATTGAAATAGATGTATCTGCCCTAGAAAACGTACATTTACATAAGAATTGGCATTTTGATATCATATATTTTATTTGTTTGTTCTCTTTAGCTCGCTAACCAGCTTTCACTAATATCAACCAATAACCGAGTTTCTTTTGTTTACGATTCTACCGACCAAAAATGACAGTTCTATCCATAGGCAATGTTATTGTATTAACCATTATATCTTCATTAATGTTGTACTGTACAATTAACATTTTCACGTCATTTAAATGAACTGCTAATTAGTACCATATGAAATGACCTGTATAGGCATAGAGTAGCACAACTGAGAAGTTTTTAAATAAAATTTGTAGTTTGAATGCACAAGCTAATAATTCAAACTCATGGGATTTCTTTGAAATAGTTACACATGTAGTTGCCCATCATATTTTTCCATTTTTTTTTTAGGCGAGGGCTTAGACGTGAGTAATATTTTCATTCTCCCGATGACAGTGTTTAAAGCTCGCTCAAAATTCAACACGAAAACAAAAAAACAATTTTCGTTATTTCGATAAAATCTCATATTTAGAAATAGGAATTGGCCTATACAAATACATGCTGTCGATTTGATTATTATTATTATTATTATTGTATACTTATATAGCGCATATCAAACTTCTCTATACGCTGAACATTATTACCCCGGATCACTGGATCAAGCACATATGGAACACACACTCAGGCCCCATAGGGGAATTCCATAATGTTGCAGCTGTATTCAGCGCAGGCTGTGTTTGAACCTACCAGGTACCCACTTTTACTCCTGGGTGGAGAGAGACAACCGTAGATAAAGTGCCTTGCCCAAGGGCACAAGCGACTTGCACAGCGAGAGTTTTGAACCCCCGACCTCGAGGTTGGTCAATGTGATATTGCGGATAGGCCTATAACTCGTATCTATGGTCTTTTTAACAGTGTACTCCAAAATCTTAGACTATTTTAAGAGATTATATTTATATTTATTTATTCATTAAATCAATCTGGGCCCTAAAACGTTGGCAAATATGCTATCGGTAAATTTCCTGTCGCTTTATAATTAGGCGATACTGGGGATTCATATTGACCGGCTGAGACCAGCTAAATTCGGCTTTGAATTTTATTGGATTGTGTTAAATTGCGTATGAAATGCACACAGTGTTTTTATGGAATCTCTCACATTTTCTTTTTATACAGACCGCAGACATGGCTGTAGCCTCATTAACTATCAACGCACAGAGAGAGCGGGACGTCCTATTCACGAAGCCGTTTATGACGCTTGGAATAAGTATCATGGTTAAAAAACCTCTAGACCCAAGTCCCGATCCATTTTCCTTCCTCCGCCCTCTATCGACAGAAATATGGTTGTGTATTATATTCGCCTATACAGGAGTCAGCGTGGTACTGTTCCTGGTAAGCCGGTTCAGCCCAACAGAGTGGTATACTGTCCGAGAGGATGGGGATGTTTCCCCAACACCAGTGGAAGACAGTTCAACAGAAGAAGATGAACCAAAAACCAATGACTTTGGAATATTTAACAGTCTATGGTTTTCGATGGGTGCATTTATGCAACAAGGTTGCGAAATATCTCCACGGTAAATTGAACTCCCATCAACCTACAAACATCTAAAGTACAATGACAGTAGGCTTCTATATGTTTCTTGGCTCAATGTTTTTTGGACAAATATAACTCATTCACAATTATAATTGATTGATTCTTAAATTCAAAAGTGCATTAATGATTCATAATGCTAGAAAAAAATATCCACTTTCTATGATCGATGTTTGATGAGAATGACATCTTTATAAATGGTCGGACCCCTTTATAAGTTAAGTTCTTTTTCTGCTGCACCTTAATATAGATTTAGAAGAACCTACTTTTTTGCGGGAAATCCTAAAAACAAGGCTAAGAGCCACTCTAAGTAGTTGGCTAGAAATGAAGTGCTCTGGGGAGTAATGGAAACGAATTCACATTTTAATACCAACTTTTTTCCTCTTTAGTTTTTAATGTTATTATAAAAACAGGCATTTAACTATATCACTAAAGTTGAAGTCAATGCTGTTTATTATTGTTTTCTGCAGATCCTTATCAGGTAGGATCGTTGGAGGCGTGTGGTGGTTTTTTACACTCATCATCATCTCTTCTTACACCGCTAATCTGGCCGCGTTTCTAACTGTTGAGCGGATGGATTCACCGATCGAATCCGCTGAAGATTTAGCAAAACAAACAGATATAACATACGGGACACTGGCTTCCGGAGCTTCTTTTGAGTTTTTCAAGGTATTGCAAAATAGTCCTATGTTTTATTCAGAAATATTTTTCTATGTTCTATCAAAAAAATAATTTGCATAAAGTTAATCGTTGTTAAATCTTACCAAAGACTTTCCGTTCAACTTTAGGTGACATAGTAAAATATGCGTATGGTACAAACATGTGTATGGTGCCCATATTAAAAAAAAAATGTGATTGGCTAATAGGTATTTAATTAAATTGAAATTGAATATTTACAGAACTCAAAGATTCATGTTTACGAACGAATGTGGAATTTTATGCAATCAACCGACCCGCCCCCATTTGTCAAGACCAACCAACAAGGCGTCAACCGCGTACGCCAATCAGATGGAAAGTACGCCTTCCTTTTAGAATCAACTGTCAACGAATATCACAACCAGCAGTTACCATGTGACACGCTGAAAGTCGGTAGCAATCTGGATTCGAAAGGCTACGGTATCGCTGTTTCCCCAAATTTACCAAAGCTAAGGTTTGTCGAACATTTAACGTGTAATGTATAAAATGCTGTAGTAATGTCTGTGCTGACGAGGCACAAACCAGAGTTTCCATGTTGTCTTAAATGAATATGTACTTCGCTTGTCGTTAATATGGGATAGTGGCGTATCTAGAAGTCTTGAAATGGGGGTACTAATGGGGTGGGGGCTCGATTATCAGCACTAATTCGCAAAATAAGATGATTTTAGGTGATTTTTAACTACTTGACAGTGATTTTTTGGGGGTGACTGGAGAGGGTAACGAAATTCGGACCGCTTTTCCGAAGCGCTAAACGCCAGCGTCCCTATTCGTACATACTGATTCGATTTTCTGATCGGTTCAGTAAGCCTTCCTATCTGAAACTTTATTTGGAATCAGTGTGAATGCACCTTAAAACATACTCATTTGGTTCTGTTCATACCTCAATGCTACACACCTTAAAGCACACGACATATTGTATGTCGTCTCCCGTCTCGGCCAAAATTGCGTATGTAATTTATCTGAAGCAGTTTCTATATCTCGCCTGGAATGTAAAGTAGGAATATGTTAGAGAATTGCACATAGGCCTATCAATCATATAGTTACATAGCTACACTGTGCATCACCCGATAATAGGGAAATATAGGACGGAGTAAGACGCAGCATTTTTGAATTTGGGAAAATGTTCTTTAAAAAACATAAATTTCTTCACATATTAACTAGTAAGCCAATCTCTGTAGAGGAATTAATTGCAAACCGATTTCAGTGGATTAGTATCAGTTTTCTATTTTTTTTATCTAGTAGGCCTATATTTATTCTGAGAGAAAAACAAAGAGAAAATAAAAATGCAAAGAACAACCATAATGAAATTTCCACTAGAAAATATTTACAAAAGCAAACTTAATCCTTATTTAAGTGTCTCTCTTTTATTATTATCAATATTTATTGTTGTCATTAACGTTATTTATATATTATTGCTGTTATTGTTATTTTGATAATTTTATTATATTATAACTATTAGTATCGCATTATTATCTTGAGTGTAATTATAATCTTGTTAATAGTGATATGGTTTTTTTTAAAAACCCATATGAAAAAAAAGTTTTAGCTTTATATCAAAGATCTTATAAACACAAGATAGCGTTCTCCGCGATTTACGTGTAACAAATAGAAGCGTCGGTCAAGGTTCAAAAGTTTCCAATTTAGCAAGAGGGCGCCATTCATGCGCTATTATACCAAAGAGAAAAAGTAATCAGTTTTGGAAGAGGGCGTCCTATCTGTTGCCATGGATCTGAGATGGTTCCTGTTCTGCTGTTCAGAGGATAGCGGTCAAGGGTCAATAGTTTCCAATTTAGCAAGAGGTCGCCATTCATGCTTTATTACAGAATTTGCACGCGTAAATCCCGGAGAACGCTATCTTGTGTTTATAAGATCTTTGCTTTATATGCACAAATGGTTGTATTATTATCTTGAGTGTAGTTATAATCTTGTTAATAGTGATATTAGTTTTTTTAAAAACCCATATCAAAAAGAGAAATTTTTAGGTTTACATGCACAAATGGTTGGATTTATTAAAATGTAGGATTTTTAAACATTAGTATCGTATTTATCGTATGATCTTGTTAATAATGATATATATATTTTTTTATTATATGAAAGAGAAAATGACTAGATAGGTTTATCAGCATACCTGTTTGGTAATCTCAAAGATAAAAACAAATTCTTGTATCATCTCCAAATGATATTTAATGACTTATTAAAATGTAGGCTTTTTAAACATTTGCTGACACAGAAACTTTTCCAGTGCACATGAAACAAGGTAGTTATTAGGATGTCATATTATATGTTGCCACGTCTCATTCGATACCCTGATTGTTTACTCGTCATGCATCGTTGAAACTAATGAACTTACAGATAGAAAGTTAACGATCTCCAAAAAAAAAAAAAACAAACAAAAAAAAACAAAAAAACAAAAAAACGAGACTCTAGCACAGATTTACACGTCCCTAAGCACAACGTAAATTCGGCCCAAATCAGGTCCTAATTTTCAGTTAACAACGAAGATATCTTACCGTCATATTTTAAACCAGAAACCTTTAATTTAAAGACATTGATCTATGACTTTCCGTTCCATGCGGTATTAGTGCTATGTCCTATTGTGACGTCAGCCAGGTTGAAAAAATAGAGAAAGGGATTTAATCATTACTGGCGCTTGAACTGACCTACAGTATTTGAGTTCGGTGTTACTATAGGCCTGTAAATATAGAATACTAGTTTACGATATGAAGAAATGTGGTGCTGGACAACAAAGACATTTGCAAGAAAAAAATTAAAAAAATTACACCAATAAATTACAATTTATAAGCAAATTTTGATAATTATTTTAATTTAGAGAACAACTGACACTTGCTCTTCTGGAACTAAGAGACTGGAATAATACCTTACAACATCTACAGAAAAAATGGTGGTACTTCAAAGGAAACTGTGATCCAACTGACTCCAATTCCCAGGTAGTACTTTAATGTTTCAGCCTGTATGAACATGGTGATGTAATATCACACCCACATAAGGGCGTCATGATATGATATGATACATCACGCCTATATAAGACTTGTCGGATACATTTTGATGGTGTGAATATAGACGACCCTTTAATATTTGGGACTGTTGAAATTTATTCCTTTATAAAGTTTATTTTAGATAAAAATTCCAAAATCCCTTGATGATTAAAATTATTAAAATGAAAAAAAAGGGAAAAAAGAAAGAAAATGATAAGATTAGAAGTGTGTTGATGAAAATGAATCACCCGATAAACTCTGCTGACTGTACTAGATAACAATAATTTAAAACTATACTATTTTTGTTAAAATCCTTATTAAAAAAACCTAAAGCTAGCTTAACGTCAAACGAATATAAAAATCATTAATCTTAAATAAATAAATACAATTTATGATAAACTAACATTACTTCTTATTTCTAGGGTACAGCTAGCGCCCTCACACTGAGCAGCGTGGCTGGTGTGTTTTATATTCTCATCTGTGGACTTGCTCTGGCAATTATTGTCGCCATCTTGGAATTTTGCATGAGGAGTCGTAAACACATGCGTCAGACAAGAAAGGTAATAGCAATTTATATCGCTACGAAATGACATTTCTGCGATCCTACACGTAACGTATAATTAGTGCAAAATAGTTTATCATTGAAGAAATAATAACGTAGCAGAAAAGCATTAAGAAACCAAAGCAAAATGCCAAATATTACATGCTTTTCTTCTGAAATATGATCGTGTCGCTGATAATCACTCGTCTTGAAATAAAGCCTGACTGCGGCCCATTTTACACACAAAGACAAACACAATTTGAGCCACGAAATGAAAATGTAAATATCTTATCATAAGGCCATGTAAAAAAAGAGAGTTGGTGATCGTCCATTAAAAAAAAAAAAAAAAAAAAAAATAACAATTTTCGTCATTGTGCATGGGGCATGATGATCTAGCATCCTGCTATAATTATTGTTTCTCTCTCTTTCTCTCCCTTCATTAGTAGATCCCTTGGCTGTATTGTCTATCAAAATAGCTCTTGTTTTTTTCAACAAAGGTGGGAGTTACACTTGATAACTTTATTTATAACTTTAGACGCGTTGACGAAAATGCAACGCTATTCTGTGTAGTTCGTTAGCTGCGTTTGCATTGATGTGTCCAATTGCTCTTGAGTACATGAACCATGCTATTTGCGCAGTGTTTGCGTAGCTGGCGTATTGGCATCACCTCAGAAAGCGCGTTGCTTCTGCAAGTAAACATTTTTTTAAATGTAAGAACAGCTGTTTATGTCAATTTTATTGCGTTTGTGCGCTGTATAAATCGACAACCACCAGTGAACAACCATACTATAATCAGAATAAACTTATGGAGGCATGAACCGACATCTACTCAGAGATAGCGCGCGTGTATAGAGGGCGCATGGCGACCATGCGCTCAAAACACGCCAAGTCATTCAGAGTGTCACTCACATTGCGATTGTTTCAGTCCGGTCCAGGGATATCAGGTTCATTTACCGAAGCTCATTACACTTACAATTAAATAATTATTGTGCACAATACCTAATTTCAAGCCTCTATTAAGGAACTTTTTTTTTAATGAGAACGATTCGAAGCAAATCGGTCCTCATTAAACTGTAATTGAATTTATCAATAATGATTGTAATCCGTACGCAGTGATCTTAATTAACTCCTGTCCATTTCTTTTGCCGCCAATAAATGAATTTTTTGAATCATAGCGTAGGGCCTGCGTCTTTATAAGCTTTACCGAGTGAGTTATTATATAACAATACACAGTGACTACACACTACTAGCGCGTTTCAAACGCAAACACAAAACTTGACATAACCAAAAGCTACAGCTTCTGAATAACATTTGCGATGTTACGCGTCTATATTTGAAGTTGTTCACGCTAAAAATCGAATGTGGTGACAGAGTAGCGTTAAACTTTTTTTTTTTACAATCAGATAAAATTAAATTGTAAATTGTTATTAGTGTGTATAAGTTTGTGAAGACTATCTACCATCAGCAACTTAATTTATATAGACATATCTTTGTATTAAATTCATAATATTTAATATGAATATATTTATTAATTATATATATATATATATATATATATATATATATTGTAAAGCTTTTGTATATACAGCAAAAGAAAGCTATTAAAAATGTATCATAAATTTTATATAGAAAAATATAACAAGAATAATATACATATTTCAGTACGTCATATGCACAATACGAATGTATATCTGTGTATTGTGTTATGTTTAGAGCATGAAGATTTTGATAGATGAAGGCGATGACTTTACCGCAAAAGAAGAACAAAGAAAAACACTTATAATATATACTTACATATTTTATGTGGTTAGTCACGCTTTTGATTTGAAGTTTTTCACACTGAAACCTGATGGGTGTTTTGCGTTTATGGAATTTGCGTCAAAAATACATAAGATTTATTTATAAACGTGTGAAATCATCTTAAGCTCTCGTCGCGACGAAGTTTAACATGATTCAAATAGTCAACAAAACCTAGTGGTAATGAAAATCGGCATTCCAGGGCGATAACATTGTCCTAATGTACTGGACTCTAATAAATAGAAAATGAGTGTAGAACGTGAAATTATTTAAAATATTTTTTAACAAGATATGTTGCAATAAAATATATATTCAGTGTCGCCAACATGTCTAAATTCCTCCGAATTTGACTACTTTAAGCGAGTATCATGCATTCCATAGATAGTTCGCAATTTTTCAGCTACGTCAAGCCTTGGAAAAAATGATGTTTGCCATTAGTCATTTGAAATTATATTATGTCTATGTTTTGTATTTTCTGATATGAATTTTGGCACTGTTATCTTCTAATGTAAATTAATGTTATTGAAAAGATTCATAGGGATCTCTAAATTGTATTTGTTAGAATTTGTTTTTGATGATCAGAAAATGTTTGAATAAAAACGTTAACTTACTTTTCATTCTCGAGCTTTCGCTGATTTTCAAGTGAGCTTAATCATGAGTGAGTTCATGCACCTTTAATTAATGAATATTTTCAGAAATTTTATGGAACTAAAAATCAATTTTTGTACGTTGATGGTTATCAGGATGGTCATTGCACGCTCGAATATCCATCTTCTGAACAAAATGTTATCGATTACTGGTCAATGGACACCAGTATTAGGCCTACATTATTGTGGAACTTTTTTTCCGTTGCGTTGGGAATTTTCCTTATCACGCATGATTTTCAGCTTAAATACAAACATCTATTCAACTCCAACTATGGCCACAGAAGAGCAGTGTTTTCTACTTTCTGTAGTAACAACCTATTGGAAGAAAACATAATAAATACATATTCAAATAAAGTGCTGGAAACCCACGTTATTATTTCACTACTACTTTAAAAACAACGTTAAATTATTTTAAAAAAAAAATGTTTAGCGTTTACGGATTATCTTTTTAGATAATGATTTATAGAGTATTTGTGGTTCTAAGTAACACAAGCCATCCTGAATCTTTAAATCCCCGGTGGGGATCCCTCAGTACTTATTCTCGTAATCTAAGAGATAGTTAATGGCATGAACAAGTATTAAGCGATTCTTAGCAAGTGTAGCATGATAAAGTCTTTCGTTCCGATTGACTAATCGAGCAGAATGCTTACTATTTTATGCTGTTTCTTTATTATAAATTTATATTATTTTTAATATTATTTTGCTACACTATCACACTAAACATTAATCTAATCGACATGCAATGAAGTTGCATAAGCTAACATTTATTTTCCGTCTATTGTGTTAAAGCCATTGTTTTTGTTCAATGTTTTTCTTATTGTCCTGTTTCCCCGATTTTTTTTTTAATTTTTGTTTTGTTTCTGTTTTTGTTTTTTGTTTTTGTTATTTTTTGCACAGTGTGTTACCGGTACCCCTCCACTTTAGTCCCTGCTCAGATCTTCATCAAATAAGTGGTTCTTAGCAAATGTAGCTGATAAATTCTTTCGTTCTGATTGACTAAAATAAGGAGGCGCTAACTATTTTGTATTGGTTCTTTTTTTTAAATTTACATTATTATTATTAATATTATTTTGTTATCACGATTACACCTTAACATTATTTGAATTGGCATCTAATGATTATAAATACAGCTAAAATTTATTTATCCTTTCACTGTATAAAATCCAATGCTTTTGTTCCGATTTAATTTTTCTTGTTTCTTCTATACTGTTTTTGCACAGGTTTCTACCATCCGCTTTATTCAATTTTCGTGCTCAGATCTTCATCAAACGTAGTCCAAGCAACACCACTATAGTATACCATCATTTTTGCTAATGCCTGTGTGACTTGCTGTATAATTTTAAACATCTGTTCTCATTATTTCAATGAGAAACGCCCTACGTTCTATGTTTCAAACAAACTTATAGTTACGATTCTTTTGATTTGTAGCCAAGCAAATCTACGTCATATCCAACGATCAGTAAAGCTAGCATGGCATTGCGGGACGACGATCCAGCAAACCACCCGATGCTGCAAACCAGAGAACAGGTACGTATTTATTATACAGCAAAAACATACACCAAGCTAACGATGTAACGTTATAATATCGTTGTTGTTTAGTGTTGAAACGTGTTCTTTAGAACCATATTAAGTAGGCCTAATTATTTAAAAATACGTAATATTCGACTAAAGCCTTTTCCTTAAAATCGGTACACTGTCGCTACAGTGTTTTCAGTGCAACCGCGTAGCGGTTCTCGGCAAAATCGGGAAGACTCCCCGATTCGATAGACCAATCAGCATCACCGGATAGCTGCCGGTGATAGCGTCTTGCGATTGTATGGAAACCAAGCTTAAATAACGTTGCTGCAATGTTATAAGCAGGGGTGGCGCCAGCGTAGGGGGGGGGGAGACCTTGGGGGCCAGAGTCCCACCGTCGGGGAGAAAAAGAAATTATATGTATTTTACATAGTAGACTCTAAAATCGATTAAATAAGCTTTTGAAACCCCTAAATCGTTAAAATTTTCGGAGGCTTCGCCCCTGGACCACTTTCAAAACCTTTTAATCGAAGCTCGACCACGCCCACATTGCTTTCGTCGGGGAAATCTGACCCCTCGGGGCATCGGTAGTCGGTCATCGAAATTCAAAAAGCAGAATGTTTATTGGATATCGATCAAGGTTATCGGAATTCAAAAAGAAACAGTCCAATATCGATCAAGTTAATAGAATGCTGCACATTTTAGTTTTAGGTATTGTTAGTGTTAATGATAATAATGAATAAATATAATAATAAATAGAGGAAAAATGTATATTAAATAGATTTTATACGTGATATTGGTTTAGTGAAGTTGGTGACAATAGTATTATTTGGCATTAACGATGACGATGGTACAGGGGTAGCATAATATGCAGTGGTGTATCTAGGAGTCTTGAAATTGCGGGGTTGTGGCTGATGGAGGCGCGAATGTAAAATGCGGGCCTCGATGATTTAGTGAGGGGGAGCACAACTCGCAATATAATGTAATACGTGGTCAGTTTTAACTACTTGAGCGTGAGTTTTTTTGCTTCGAACATTTTCAAGGGTTGGGGGGGGGGATGCTTAAGCGACTGGTGGTGCAAGATTTTTTGGGGTCCACACCCCCTAAATACGCCAATGCATATTATGACATGCTGATAATAAAATCGATGGAGTATGGAATTATGAATGATAACTATGGTAGTAGTGGTGATGCTGATAAAGAAGACGTTAACATGACGATATTCGTAATGCCGATATTACCATGGTGATTTTATGCCAATGGTACCATGGTGACTGGGTTGGTTACGATGGTAGCTGGGTTACGATGGTAGATTGGTTACTGACGATGACAAAATGACAAGTGGTGGTGAATAAAATATAGTAATATGCAAATTCGTAACACTGAGATAGTAATATTTTTGTCGTTTATGGCAACGAAGTCATCGTGGTGAAGAAGTTGTTGTTGATGATGATGATAAGAATCAGGATGATGATGAAGATGATTGGGAGAATGATGATGAAGAGATCGGAAATTTTACTGAGCACCAAACAAAATTTTGATAGTTTGGAAAATAAGGATATAAATGTGATTGTCACTTATTGAATCGGTTTTTCCTTGTATTTTATGTAAAATAAGGCTTTTTCCAATATATCAAAGGATTCAACATAGATGGTGTTAATTGTCGCAGCAATATCAGATGCATTGAATGCGTTAATCATTTTCCGCTGGTAGCAATATCAAATGTTAATTTAGATGCGTTAATCCATTATGCTTGTCGTTAGCAGACAACTAAAGTATTAATATATTAATATATACATTATCAATTTGGTATTACAGATGTTGAAGTTACATGGAATGGAGACACGTTGTAGTAACAGAAGACTCGGTCAAACTGAAGTGTAAACTACTGTCCATCACGGAAGCAGTAATTAGGCTTGCTTCCGATCGTTGCTCGTAGTACACTGTAATAATAAGCGTATTCATGTAATAATAGTGTTGAGAATTAAGTGCAACATGCTTACATTTTTACTTATTAAAACACGTGATACATCTCAGCGTTGTGGATTGAAGTCAGATATTAAATACGTTTTGCCCCTTAGCTTGCGAGTTTACAGTAATATATTGCGATAGTAAATCAGACTGAGACAATAGGAGTATAGCTATATTAAGAGAAAAATAAACCAAGAAAAAAAAAGTGCGTGTATTACTAAATTGCGTCGGTAAATTAGTAATAAAGAAACACAACAAGCAGGGCTAAGGAGGATGTAGGTGAGTTTTTGCCTAAAATAAGGTAAAAAAACAAAACTGGATAGACGAAACAAGATTAACGAAAAAGTATGAAAAACCTGTCGAGCACACAAGTGCAGCGGCTGGCGATGAGATAAAAGGATGATAGGTAAGAAACGCCAACCGTGCAAAAAAACGATTGTTGGATATTTGTGGTCGATACTCATCTGTACCAGTCTCAGAAGGCTCAAGGTTTTAGCATAAAATTAGGATTAGTAATACTAATACTAGCTAAAAATATCGTAATAAAATATAATGCTTGTACACGTAACCAAAATTCGAAACACTGTATGTTATCTCATGAGTTTGGTGTAACATGCATTACAGTAATGTAGTTGGTTGAGCAGATCACAGCAGCCAAACATAGTCTTTAGGCCTAAATAAAGACATCGAATTATGGAATTTGGGGGGAAAATTCGTCAACAATAGCAGCCTCTCTAATCTCCGAAATTCTTTCATTTTTGCATTACCGTAAGTTTGTTAATTCTGTAGCTGCCGCAAAGAATACCAAATAACTCTAGGGATACTCGGTAACTGTCTTAATTTATTATTATTACCGGTGTAATAATAATGCGCCCCACGAGTCCCCAGCCCTCTAGCGACACAAATGTATCGTTCTTCGTCTTCATTACGATGTGTTCGTGGTGGACAATTACACGGTTTGCCCTGCTTGCAGAGGGTGTTCCGCCAATTCTCCTTGTGAGATATGCGTTCATTGGCCGCCATCGCGATTTATAACTATCAAAGCTTGGCATGTTGATCATTGCAGACCGGGGCCATCGGTTCCCGCAGTGGGTGCACTGTCTCTTATACACATCTAGATGTGTATAAGAGACAGCCATCTGCTGCGCTCTACGGGTTGTTTTAGCCCCCGAAGTCATGCAGGCGATTTCGGCGGCGGTGCAAGCTGCTTTGCAAGCTTCTGCGCCGTTATTGGCCGCGGCCGATTGCCCCTCTCCTCTTCCAGCTGAACATCTTCCTGATTTGCCTGTGTTTGTTGATGAGGATTTGGCCTCATTATCGAGGGAGGAGAAGGGAGACCGCGGGGAAGGTTCACAGGTATTAGGTATTGGTAAACCGGGTGGTCCCCGCTGTTTTGGCGCATTTGGGCATCGCTGCGCCCGAGGCTGAGCCTCCAGACCATCGTGATGCCAAGTGTGCCAATGGCATTCACATCACCCCAGATTATTTGAATAAGTCATTTCGTAGTTTGAACACAATTGACTACCACGTACACACAACAGGTTTATGTTGATTGACCTCGGATACGGGCATGCGCAATTCAGATTACTCAATGGCTTATTCGTTGAAGAACGAAAGTATAATGATAATGGTCGAAACTTTTATCGTTGTTCCTCCAGCTTTTAAATAATTGCAACTTACTATAGGCCTAAGTGTAATTTTGCCACAATTAATTAGGTTACACTCTCGGTGTTCAGAAATCAAATGATAAATCAATATTTAAGTTGCATACTTTGATATTGAAGTTAGTTATTAGTTTTCACTTGAAGGTTAATAGGAAATAATTTTCTTAGCAAATAAATAACACTCTTCGTATATTCATTACCGGGGCTTTTAAATTAGCAGGAAATCAATTTAGTAAAATATGTAAATCAATGAAAACTGAATCGCTCTGATCTTTGTCTCATTAATTTTTCGATCCCGATAAATTTAATATTTGATTGAATTTTTGGCAGTTTTTTTTTCTTTAGATTATACCCACAAAGCCTAGCGAACATAGAGTTTGTTGACGATCAGTAGACTCTCTGCCGCAAAATTCGTCCGCGCTTTTCTGAGAGGTTGCTCGACGTAACGCCAGTCCGATATTTGTCATCAGAATTCTGAGCAGAGCGTCGTTGGAATTGCGTCAGCTGCCAAAGTCAACGCAGTTGGTGATCGGCTTAAGTGTTGATTTAAGAGCCATTATACTTGCTTGTACATTTAAAGTGTTTGTATTTATAACAAGGATTGGCTAGTAATTTTATGAATCTACGTTTTGTATTTTTTTTTTCTTCATCATGTAATGCAATATTTGATGTGGCCAAGAATTACCGCATACAGTAGCAATGGTTTTGGTATTGCTTATTTATATAAATAGTTCTTAAGGCCAACTCAGACAGCGTCGGCCGACGCAGCCCGACCCGATTTATCGTCGGGGATAGTCTTAAGCCGTCGTGAGAAATATTAAACATGTTTAATATTCTACGACGCGACTGCCCTCGACGCACACCATCGCGTCTGCGTTTAATATATTTCCTCCATGGTTTAACTCACACAGACCCGACGCGACAACAAATCGCGTCGGGCTGCGTCGTACGACGCTGTCTGAGTTGGCCTTAAGTTGTATAATATATGTTTCTTGGAACCATAGACGACGTTTGTAAGCTACGCGTTATACAGAGGTCTGGGTTAATCACCACAGGTGTTATTTTGAGAGTACGTACATACTTGAAGCTATGTACACTTATGCGCATTGATTTCTAAAGAATAAAGTGTTATGAGGCATAAAGTTCTAGTCATTTAATACGTTTAAAAAATAAAATCTAATGTATCAATTTTGATATATTGAGAACAGATTCTACGGAAACGAAATAACAGCAAACGGTATTATGTTTATTGCAATGAGATTGCGGAGTTGTTGAAAAGTTATATTATTAATTTAATGCGACGTTAAAATTTTCAGTAAAGCAATACACTTTTAATTTTTAACATTCATTATAATACTATTTTACTATTTAATGTAATATTTAAGAAATGGTCTTTGATGTACAAGCAATGCCGCACAGTAACATACTTAAATGAAAAAAAAAGAAAGAAATATCGTTGTCTATGTAAAAACAACTTAGTATGTAATTTTACACAATGTATTCATTTTTAATCAGTAAATCCTTTAATATAGATATGGATAGCTGCGTTATTGTCTGAACTAGATTTACTGTAGTTACACTATATCATCCGTATACTGAATATATGATTGCTCGTGACAATATTCGGGTTGTATTTCAAACGATATTACTGTACTAATAAAATTACCCTTGTAATAACAAATAATTCTTTATCGTACGGCTAAGAATTGTGCTACCATTGCGTTGCCCGGCAACTTGCTATTTGCAGCAGCTTCATAATAAAAATAGTATTAGAATATTTTTAATCAATGACCCGACAAATATCTGCCAGTCAGTAATAGAAAAGAATTGAAACAATGATTAGCCTGCCTTGTTGTTATAGTAAAGGAATGATCCATGCGATATCAATATATTTTAAACTAAAATCGTACCAGTACACGGTATGTTTCCTTAAATCGGCCAGTAATCCACTCAAAATATTGCGTTGGACAACGCTCAATCAAGTGATGTATTATTGTAGCGAACAATATTGGAGCTGATAGGCTTAATAGTAGGCCTCAGGGATACAGTCTTGTCTGTGTTTTGAGAAAATATATTTAATATTTGAATTAATAACTTCATATAGGTTATTTAAGTACGTTATTATCAAAATTGTTTTTGTCTTCAAATTACAGAAGTATTGGTATTTAGAAAACCGTTTTTATGCTTACAATGCGATTAAATTTATTAGGCCTAATCAATTTATGATTTTTTTTTTGTAGTAAAATGGTCAGTAAATTAGCGAAAACCGAATTGTTCGATTGTGTCTATTGCTAGTTTAATAACTATTTTTTATCTTTTAAATGTCAATGTTGTTTGAAGGTTTTTAAAACTTTGCCACTTATATACTGTACATGGTAAAGTCGAATAAATATTATTAAACCGACCATTACAGTAATCTCTATGTTAAGTTTTTCAAAAGTATCTTTTAAAATAGATTTAGATGGTCGAACATAATGATGTTACTCTAAAGATATCACAGCAGCTGGTATAGCTAACAGAAATATAGAAACTCAAAGATAATGAAATCAGTGAAATGTTTGTATTAGACAGTATTAAACATAAGCATTTGGTCAGTGACGACAGCTATAGTATAAGTTGTATAGTTATCTGTTTTATAGCACGACAGCTGAAAAGCGCGATTTTAACGTTACAATTTGAGGCCGTACAAAATATTGGCATTGATGGTTAGTTCTTGGTAGAGGGATCTTTCGAATTTCAGAACTATTACACAACCGTCGCTAATAAACTCTTTTGATGCGTTTCGAATTGCTTGACGCTTCAAGTGACGCATCAACTAGTTCACGGTTGTAAAATAACTTATAATATTCCTCGCCACGTTCACACCACCTTCATGCCGTTTACCACACAACGATAAATTCTTAATTTACCATGTTTTTGTATTAAAAGAGAATATAGTAATGGAAGCATCTCGACATCAAGCGTTGAAATGTAGTTGATATTCCGAGTTGAGCTTCAATTATACGCTTCTTCACCACCGTTGTAGCCGATAGCTAATTAAAGTGACGTCATGTGGTAATGTATTATCGTTTTGCATATTATATTTTTTCTATTCTAATAGGAATCTATGATCTGTTCCGTTTAAATGATTATCACACCGGTACCGTAGCAGTGCATCTGCTACTCGTACGTCTGCTTACACTAGCATTGCTTCTGTTCTAACTATGTAAAACCTCATTTTTGTACAGTATATTGAGATATCAAAGGCAAATAAAATGTCATGTTACATGAATTTGTCAGTGTTTATAGATAATATGTCACATATCAATTTGTCTCTGTCAATCTACAGGTGTCTTAATTATTATAAAGCATACCATCTTATATACTTTAATAGGAATAATAGTCGCCATGTATTAGGTTATTTATTTTCTATCGATTGATTTTCTGTATTAGTGCAAGGTTATTGAAAAGCAGCAATATTACTGTAAATACTGTGCCACAACGAATAACTTCCATTTCACTTATTTTGTAATATATATATATATATATATA